TCTTGCTTTTTATTCGGCTGAAACATTTTCCAGAATTGTGCTGGTCTATTTGATTACTCAGGTTGTCCTATAAATGTGATATAGTAGTTAAATTTTTCCTGTTTATGGATTCCTCTAACTTATCGAGAAACAATATTTCTATGGAGCTGGAGATCTACTAAATCTCATACACTGGTGCTGTTTTGTTTGTTTTTGCACCATTTGCCATGTTGTGTTTTACATCTTCCTGACAAAGAGCCTGTTGGGTTGAAACACTGCCTTTTAGTCCAATACATAGTCCAATAAGCTACAATTCAGTGGGCTGATATTATTCAGACTGTTAATTACTTTCTTTGAGGATTATTTTCTCAATTAAAAGTCCAGTGTGTAACATTTAGGAGGATCTATCGGCAGAAATGTAATATTATATTCATAGCTAAGTTTTCATTAAGGTATAATCACCTGAATATAGGAATAGTTGTTTTTTGGTTACCTTAGGTCCATTTTTATCTACAGATGCCGCGGATCTGAATTGTTGAACCGCCATGTTTTTATGGTAATCCAGAACGGATAAACCAAACAGTGGCTTTAGATAGGGCCGTAGGTTCTCATCCCCAGGTCATCAAATACAGACCCAAGTGGTGTTCAGTTACTCTAAATCTGCAACTTCACCGCTAGATCCTACACACTGGTCCTTTAATCAATTAATTGTTAGGTCTGATTAGAAAACAGTGAAAAATGTCCATCGCAGTGTCCAAGAACCCAAGGTGTTGCCATGAAATGTACAATTTTAATCTGTCCAATAGTCAAAAATCCAAACAAAATAAACTGTACCAAAATGTAGGGCAAAGAAAAGCTGGAACAATCAAATGTTTGGCATTATTTCTATTAAGCTCTAGATATCATCTGCTGTTTTCTAACTGAATCTGCCATCCTGCACCTGGACTAAATATAACATCATATGTGCTCACACATACCATACTGCATGTATCACACTATTACCGTGAGGGAAGCAAATGCCATGTCATGGCACCATATCTCAGGCATGGTGAGGCAGTCTGCGCTTCAACTCAAAGGTCACATTGACAGGCAAAAGTGGCATTAATAACTATAAATATCACCGTCCTTCACTTTATTTTCTCTCATTAACATTACATCCATTAGCTCCAAGCTGGGCAATGAATGTGAATGAAATGAAACCTCACACAGCGGGGGCTGTCCACCTCTTCACTCAGTCAGTGACTCATGCGGAGGTAACTTTTTCACACAGTATTAAAAGTATTACACCATCTGATCTATTGGTTTCTTTAAATAAGGCTTGCATTGATTGGTCAGCCTCTGTGTGCCAGCGCTACTGCTTTGACTGATTGAGTCTATATGTATGGAGGGGAGGGTGTATTTAACAGCTTTTGTTCATCAGGCTCAAGCTGGAACAACACTATTAATTGGATGAGGGTAAGCAAGCAGTTGCAGTAAGCTAAAAGGGATTGCTGTGCTTCATCAAAACCACACACAGGACTGTGGCTTGTACAAGGAGACGGGGGAGTCGCCTTAATAGCGGACAGTCAGACTTAATAAAGAAAGATAGCCATAATAATGATAAGAGCAATATCCCTGCTTGTGCAGCTGACATATTTATTCAGCCCCCTCTGTCAGACACACAGGGTTTTGTTAGAGTCATAATTTACACTAATGCACTGACACCTCAGCCAGTAGCCGTAGTAGTCATTTGGAGCCTTTGCCACCTGTCACCTGGGAAATAATGTGCAATGTCAGTGCACCTTTCAAAAGCTCTCGCCTCCCAGCCTAAGCTTGTTTCTCAGGGTTACAGACCGTTTGTGCTTCCGTGCTCCTTCAGCACAAGGGTGACTGCGCTGCCACCGCTGCTGATGGCGGTTCCAGCACTCATGAACAAAATCCAGCAGCAACTCTACACAGTCAGCCATTTTACACAGCACACACCCCCGTGATAAAATGTAATCCTCAGAGTCCCGAACATGGGCAACATGGAGTCCTGGGTTACACACATGCATGTAGTTAAGGTTTAATGGAATTGTGATGAACACAAGTGCGAACAGCGAGTGAGGTGAAGTCTTAATGAATAATTAAAAATTAGGGAAACAAGCAGGGTTACAATGGTTGAAAAATATTTCATGTGGCACAAAGAGGAATTCTAAAAAGCAATGCTGCACGGAGTAGACAAGGTTAAAAGCAATAGTGGAGAGTAAGTACAGTACATTTACTTAAGTACAATTCTGAGTGTTCATTGATTATTTCCATGTCATGCAATTTTATACTCAACTACATTTCAGAGGGAAATATTCAACTGTTTTAGTGCAGGGAAATTATTTGACAGCTTTTGCCACTTTAGTTACTTACTAGGTTACTCAGATTTTACATTAAAAAACACACATAAGATTATAAAATACAACACAAAATGGTTATTTTAAAATGTAATTTAATGAATGATTTATTGTAAGGATGCTGCTAAGTATGTCTGGAGATTAATGCTCTGTGTTGCAAAGATACTGCACCCAAGAAAGCCCCCCACCCCCAAGGGAACAATAAACATCTGATTTTATCTCAAGGATTAAACCAGTAGTTTCCAACCTCTTTGGTTGCTGATGCTTTACAAAAAAGCAATGTCTGTGAGTTCTGTGAGTAAACAACCAAACTGTACACAGTTAAAGGTCCAGTGTGTTACATTTATGAGGATCTGATATAATGTTTATAGGTATGTTTGCATTAGTGTATAATCACCTGAAAATAAGTATAATGAATTATTGTGTTTTTGTTACCTTAGAATGAGCCGTTTTTATCTACAGAGGGAGCGGGTGCTCTCCTATAGAGGCCACTATGTTGAACCACCAAATTTCTACAGTAGCCCAGAATGGACAAATCAAAAACTGGCTCTAGATAGGGCCTTTTTTCATTTTCATGACCACCATAGACCAGCTACACACTTGCAAGGCAAGCACAATGGTTTTTTTCCCAGGATGGGGAAGTCATGACCCTCCCTGCTCTGCCTCTGATTGGCTCACCCTGACGTTCTTACCCTAACCCTCATCAATCTCACTCGTCATGCCTTAACCTAACCAATCCAACTCACAAAGGCAACTAGCCAATCATGACTTCCCCACCCAGGGGAAACAAAATTGGCAAGGTAATCAATTGGTTGCAATCTGCAACTTCACCGCTAGATGACACTAAATTCTGCACATTGACCAGCTACAACAGTAAAATGAGACTGAAGCATCACTATTAACATTGATCATAATGTAATATATAATGATGTATCAATCACAGAGGACATTTTACTGCAGAACCACTAGTTTTCCTTTTTATATTCTAAGTACATGTGGCTGATAATATTTCTGTACTCTTACTAAAGTGGGATTTTACTTTTACTTGTAATTATTTTTACAATATTACTTTTACTTGAAAGTCCTGAGTAGTTCCTTCATCACTGGTTAAAAGGAGATAAAACTGAAGAAGTCATGTTTTGATAATTGCTGGGACCAGGACTGATGTTGAATTAATGGGTGCATAACGTAAGCAGAATAAACCAGTGTACTCTGTTATGACAGCTGAGAAACATATTGGGTTTTATTATTAATATCTGTCACAGTTTCTTTGTTTTTCTGTCCCTTTAACTGTAACATCTCCAAGACTTTGCCTCACTACTATAACGGATAATCCCTCCCTCTCTCTCCGTCCTCATTATGAGAAAACTGTTATACTTGGCATCAGAATTAACTGCTCGGCTGCTACTGAGAGCTAGAAAGAAAAGCAGAAGTGGGTCATATGCTGGTGGAGAGGAGGGAGAAGAGGGGAAGAACACAAGTGCTGGTTGGGGATGAAAGCACAGGTAGAGAGGAAGGAAGTAAAGGCTGAACACCAAACCAGGAGGATGAACGCTTGCCCCAAGCTTTGAATTTAACCAGGTGAATACAACAGAGCGGGAGACAACAGAGGAAATGACAGTACACACAACTTTCTCACTTGACGGTTAGCTTATAACAATGATTTTAATTTATTCTTGAGTGTATGTGATGGAAAGAACAATAAAAGTGGCAAAAGTGGCAAATACCAGTGTAGAAATTGTCTGTTACAAGTAAAAGTTGTTTTCAAAATATTAGAAATACAGAATTAACATCAAAATGTACTTAAAATACCAAAAGTATATGTAGCCATGATGCAAAATGTCCCATTTCAGAATAATATATATTATTGGATTATAATTATTGATGCATTCATATGTAAGCATCACTTTGTTGCAGCTGATAAAGATGGGATTAATTTTAACAACTTCAAACACTGCTGTGTAGCTTAATCTATAATAATCCAACATTATTTATTAGTTCATTATAATTTGTATGAATAATTTGCGTCTGCAAAGTAACTAAAGTTGTCAGCTAAATGTAGTGAGTGAAGAGTATATTTACCTCTGAAACGTAGTGGAGTAGAAGTATCAAGTAGCATAAAATGAAATTACTCACGTATCTTAAAACTGTACTTAAGTACTTGAGTAAAGGTGCTTAGTTACTTTCCACCACTGCTATTTAGTTTCATAAATTAAAGCTAGTCAGTAAATTTAAGCAGGATTTTAACAATGTTCAACTAGAGCCTCTCCAGTGTTCAGCTCCTTGATTTGAAGAATTATTCCCTTATTCTTATAGTCCATTAATTGATTAGTCAATAGAAGATTGATCCGCCATTCCAGTTGTTTGCAATTTGTTTGGAAGCTGTTGGACAAAGCAAACAGTTTGAAGATCTTACCTTGAGGCTTTAGGAAACAAACAACATTTTTAATATTTCAGCAGATTAATCGTTAATTGAAGCCGTAATCTGAATACAATGACAATGGATGAAATTGTTTGATAAGAACAATATAGAAAGGTATTTAATCATTAAACTTGTGCATAGGAATGACATATGATACAATCTTTAGACGTAGTAACACAATTTTGTGTCCTCTTGCAATAAAGTATTTTTTAAAAAAGAGTCAAAGAGAGAAAAGATACAAAAAAAGAATTAAGTGTCTTTAATGATATAGGCTACATTTGTACATTTCTACAGCAGACTTTCAGTAAAACTAACTGACAATTAGAAAAAAGAAAAAAATGTATCTGTAACAACTGAAAAATTGGATAAGATGTCAAAAGGCTTTGAAATTAAATACTCGATGTAAATATTCAGTTCAGTATTTTGTCCCATTAAATAATAAAAAACATTTAATAGTTTGAACAATCAATGTGAAATATAAATTACATTAAAGCACCATTTCAAGGATGAGGATATTAAAATAAATAATTGGCCTTTCCATATCATGACAGTACATTTTCATGGTAGTAATGTAAGGCTGTGCCGTCACACCAAACACTCCTGCCCAATGATGTCAAATGGGTTCCACATACAGTACATCATGACAAGAAGGGAATGCTCGCGTGACATCCACAATCGACAGTAAATAACTCCGCTTACAATACACCTATGAACATGTAGCTCCATCAGCAACAACAAAATAACAATCAGCAACTTTTGTAGGTGATGAACAACTTATCCTTCGGTTCTTTTTGTATTATAATAATAATTAACACCTTTGAAAGGAAAGACAAAAATAAAAAGGCCAAATAAATGACAAAAGTGAATTTCTCAAAAGTGAGAAGATTGTCACTTTTCTTGATGTAACATGTTTCTCTTAAACTTCCAATTGGGAGATCTCCCCTTACAAAAAGATCTTATGTTGTACTATCCCTCAATCCATTAAGTACAACTGGCCTGAAAAAAAAAAAAAAAAAAAAAACACACACATATTGCAGTTTCTCCCACTCACTCATCCACAAAAGGTACTGAAGAGAGCAGCTGTGAAAAGCTGCGGTTCAAGTCACACACGTCTTCACCCTTGAACATATATTGTTTCAGGTCGGGGGAATCATTTCACTGTACACTGTTCATGCACAAACCTTTCATTGATGCACTAATGACTAATGACCTTACTAAAATTTGGCAGAGCAACAGTCACGCGATCAGGTACGACAACACATCTCACTTTGATCCCTCAAGACCTGCCTGCCAAATGCATGCACACACTCGCGCGCACACACGTAGTTACACACACACACAAAGTGAGAAAAGAGCTTACTGTGAGTATAAAAAACGAGGGTGGACTGTTTCAACAGGTGCTTCAAAAAAGTCACAAGAACATATCAAAGACTGAGGCACAAAGCTGCCTTTTTAAAACCGACCGATACAAGTACCAGCAACCAATGATGGTGCTCTTGTCTCTACTGACATACATGGTATAGAAAAATTCATACAGCTATGTTACAGTACAGTAAGAGGGCTTTCCATGTTTACAGGGCCTGTAAGTTCAAACTCCTAGTCACAAATATATTAATGCTTTGTTTTCTTTATGCATTTTAAATTTGGTATTCTCAGCAAATTGTAGTGTATATTTCACTATATTTTAAAAATCATACAGTAGTTAAAACACGCTGATTCGTCCGGTTTACATAAAACCCTGTACAAGTCATTCATACATTAACAGTCCATCAAAATAATGATTTAGAAAATGTCAATCAGTCAGCGGGCTTTAATAACTGCTAGACTATGTATGAATTACAGTGTTTACAAAAACATCTTGTGGCAGATACTGTTTAATCCCCCTTGAGCAAAACAACAACGTCCAAGTGTATTCTGGGATCCAGTGACTCCAGTGGGTATAAATCAATCCGAGTACTGGAGATCTAAGTCTACTGTGCCATCTGTCACCACTAACCTCACTCTCTTGGGTTTTGTAGCACCCATGGAGTGAGACGTTGTAGCAGGTCCATAGTGTGGTGGGCCTTGGTGTTCCCCAGGCTGGCACTGTTGCTGCATGTCCTTCCTGCAATGTTCGTCCTGACCTTTGAGCCCTGAAAATCCACCCAAGGACAAAGACGCTGGGTTAGAGAGCTGGGGTCCACAGGGCTCGAGAACCAGCCGCCCTTGGGTGCCTGAAGGTTCCATCAGGCAGTGGTAGGTGTAGTTTGCCGGGCCTAATCCTGGGTAACCATCAGCCCCATCCCTGAGTCCAAGGGTCAATGAATGATCTCCACTGAAGTTTAGTACGTAAGGAGGGCCTTGATAGCCATAAGGGAAAGAGGCTGAGGAGGTTGAGGACTGACTCTTGTTTGCTGGTGCTGGTGTACCAGGGGGTGTACTGTGGATCACATGGGGGCTGTTGTGCTGAGACATGGGCGAAAGAGACGAGCCAAAGCTAAAATCAAAAGGGTCTTGCTGAGTGTAACATGGCTGGTGCTTGTCTGAGGCCGGCGTAGTGGATTTATCCGGTCTTAAACTCTTGTCTTGCGAGGAGGAATAACTGTCAGACATTTTGCTAGGGAAAAAGAAAGGTCTTGGCAGCGTTGACATGTTCTTGTATGTCATATTGGTTTCAACACTTTCATGTTTGTCAGATGACATTTTACTTTTACTAAAAGTCTGAGGGAAAGTGGAGATGGGTTTGTTGAAATGAGGGTTGGACCTGCTAGGGTTGGTGGAGGAACCAAGATGGCCCGCATCCTTCCCAAATCCTTGAACAGAGATGTTTCCTTTATGATGACTGGCTGCACTTACGCCTAGCTTCTGACTCTGCTGGGTCTTCTCAATAGTACCTGATTTTGCACCAAGTGTTCTGGATGTGATGATCGGGCTGCCAGCAGCCATGGTGTCTTTACAAGGTGCACTATACAAGTTCTGACTCTGGTTACCCCCCTGATACTTAAGCACCCTGTGAATAACCGTAGACGTTTTCTCGTGAAATTTAAATGGATTGTCGGGAGGATTGGGATTTTTCACAGTGAAGAGTTGAGGAGAGAGAAGTTTGTTAGACATTTGAGATGATGGGACGGATTTACTCAAGCAACTATGGGACACTCCTCTGACTGCGTTTGGCTGACTACTTGCAAAGGACTGGGCTTTATTAGGAATGGTCATACGATGGAAGGGGCCATGGGTTCTGAGGTTAGACTGGGCTTTTGATTGACTGGTGCTCCCCTTAATATTGATGGGGGTTTGGGTAAAAGTAACAGGAGTATGAGATGTAACAGAAGACGATGGTGCACCAAACAACTGAGGCTTGCTGACGACGGACAAGGGCTGAGTTCTGAGGTCTTCTCTGGACAGCCTCATTCCTGGATTTTTACTTATGATTCGATCCTTAGCAGTCAAGTCAGAGTTGCTGAGAGCAGAAAAACTGAAACTGGGGTTGGGTAGGTTTCTGTCTTTGGAGGTATCCCTCGCTTCACATTCCAGAGGAACAGAGTCACTTTTGGAAGAAATAAGACCTGGAAAAAACTGCAGATCCTCACTGGTAAAGTTATTTCCTGGACTGGGAGGGCCAAGGTACGGCGTTTCAGTGGTCCATGTATCGGACGGGCTGTGAGAAAGGGGACTGCTGAAAGGATCTGTGGGTGGATCCAATGAACACAGATCGGATGGTGAAGATGGAAGGATATTCTGTGGCTGATAATACCCTTCAAAGTTTAGACACTGAAAGTCCAGGATATCGTCACAGCAGGTTGTGAAGCTAGGCTCACCGGAAAGCATGTTATCTGCATTTGTGAATGGAGGAGACTGGGACGGGGGCTGGATGACAGAATTAGAAGCACTGGAACAGGCTGTTGGCTTTTCCAAAGTCTGAGATGAACACAAACCCTCGGAAAGCCTAGAGAGACTGTTGTCAATTTGTTGGAGAGTGTGACTAAGACAAGTGGTGGGTGTTTCTACAAGCCCACACTTGCGTGTTCTCTCCATTTTGTGCCTCTGTTTCCTTCCTCCGCTGTTCATCTCGGGCCTGTCAGTGACTATATCTGCAGCTGAGGATATAACTTCAGTTTTATTGTCATTAAGAGGGGAAGACAGAGACAGTGGTGATAGAGATAAGGAAAACGGTGGCGGTTCTGTTTTCAGAAGGGTCGAGTTGCTGGTCAGTCTCTGTGAAGATGGGAACTCTTCTTTGAGCTTGCTAAAATCCAGACATCCTTTCTTTTGTTTCCCTACAATGTGACACTTCATCTCTTTCTTAATATTGGGCTCTACTTTAAGTTCAGTTTGTCTGAGCTCCTCTTTGCTGTCCACCTCCCAAATATCCTCCGTCTTTCTGCGTAGTTTAATTACGGGTAACGGGATACCATTTACATCCAATTCAAGCTGCAGTTTCTGTTGTGACCCCATTTCAAAACAGCAATTCTTTACGAAACGATCTTCAACTTTTGGTTCTTGCCCTACAGCTGATAACACATCCTTGTCATTTTTATGACCCTCTTTTTTTTCTGGCAGCTGCTTGTCTCCATCTAAATCCCTATCAATCTTCTCTTTAACTTCTACTTTGTCACTGGGTGTTTCATTGGATCCGCATTCATTTTTAACATTTTCAAGGTCTTTTTCTGATTTTGTGTCTGAGACATTTGAGGTCTTCTTTTCACACAGCCTCTCGCCTCTTTTTTTTAAACGATGCAATCTACTCTTTGACTTCTTACTAGCCTGCACATGAGCCTGAGCTGCCTCCATCTCCATGTTTAAAACTGATACAGAATCCATGATGGCTTTAAAAGGATCACATGTCACCAACTCCTCTCCTTTTTCTGTTTTTAATGCCATGCTTTCAAATCCTGCCCTTTGCATCTCCCATACTCTCCCTCTCCTCCTCTTAAAACGAATCTTAAAATTGAGGCCCGCCTTTGTTTCCTCCAAACCACTTTGCTGGATTAAAGTTTCCACAATGTCTTCCTTCTTAGATGTATGTGGAGTTGGATTTTTACCACACTGCTCACGAATTTTAGCAAGATCCTCAGCTCGTTTGTCCTCTCCAAGCTTATCACTCTGAGCCTTGTCAATGTCATACTCATCCTGCCTCTCTAATTTACACTTCCGAACTTTCCTTAACAAATGACTTCGTTGAACTTCATTAGCTCGTGAGCGAAGCACCCGGTTAAAGGTTGTGATCCTTTTCGGGGTTAACCTTTGGACTTCTGTTCTCCTATGCCTGCTTTTCACTTTGCTACTCTCCTCTGAAAACATGGGGAGCCCCTTTGTCAGCTCTGTGGATGTACTCAACCCAGTGGCTTCTTTAGAAGCCTGATCTGAAGCAGAATTCAAACCCTGTTCAGAGTGCATTTCCACAGAACTGCGAAATGTACGTTTCTTTAGAGGTATGTTGGACTGTATGTGTGCCTGTGGATTGGGGTCTGGGTGCAGATTAGTCGTGGCTTTTGCTGAAATTAGTGACTCATGAGGTAGTGAGTTGAGGCAGGTCGCTGGTGGGTCATTATGCCTCTGAGGAGACTGAAGCTGCAAAGTATCCTCACTCAACTCAGTCTTCACTGTAGCTGGAACTTCTTTGCTCAAGTGTCCCTTGGTGCTTTGCTTACCCGCTGTTTTTATTTTCGCCGCTCTAGGCCTAATGTCTCGTCCTCTCAAAATCCTCCTCTGCACTGAACAATGGTACCTGCCTCCATTTATTTCCGTCTGTTCTTTCTCCTCCTCAGCGCTCTCTGTTTCTTTAGAGGCGAGCGAAAACCCTCTTCCTAAAATATCTCTGTGTAATCTTGTATCTATTAAGGGTTTATCTTTTCTTAAAATGTCAGATAGCAGAACCTTTGCCTGCTTTATGACAACATCTTCTTCGCGCCTACTTGCTGGGTGTTTACTCACACAACTAACCATTTGTTTTGATAGTTTAACAACTTCCGACTCCTTACATGCATCATTTGCTGTATTTCGAACACAACGCAAATCCTTTTGTCCTCTAGTTTTTTCACTGGGCACTATTTTACATTCGGGCTCTTTCACTTCTTCCGGTGCCCTATCACTTTTACATTCAATAACTGTAGGTGCAGCATTTTTCTTTTCTTCCTGCCCTTCAGTTTTTCCTTTTACAATGTCCTGCTGCTCCTTTTTTACATCCTCTCTTTCTTCTGACACGGTTTGTATTTCGATAACCTTGTCACTCCCCCCTTTCTCACTGTGGAATAAATCACATACAGATTCACTAGTGTGTCGCTTCCTTACATTTACTTTATCAATGGCCTTGAAAAACATTTCCCTCACCCCTCTGTTACCTTCAGCTGTGCAGATCTCTGAACTTCCTCCCTGCCTCTGCTGAGATCTGGACGCTCTTCTTTCGGACTGTACTGTCAGAGACGCTGGTCTAGGACTCTGCCTGCTCCTTCCTCTTACCGCCACACTTCTTTTCCTTGCTTCAGAGGCCTTTTCTATTTCTACAGTTTGTGACACTGATAACCTTGTTAGGTTGACTGTAAGGTATTGCTTCAGTGATACTAGTGGATTGTCCCCTGCTTTCTTTGAACTATCTGTGACATTCTTACAAACTTCTAACAAGGATGAAGATCTGCTGGTCCTGCGCTCCATTTGCCCAGCAGCTGGATTTTGAGCCGTGTTGATGACGCAGGATTCAATGCTGCTGCACTTGTTGCTTTGACTCTCTGCAATTGCTTTTTCAATCTTCTCGTGTTTTATTGCATTGTAGGTTTCAATTTCGACAGGGTGACTAACAGTTGTAGTGTTGGCTGTGTTAGTGGACCCTGTTTGATGTGTGAGCGTGGTGTGAACCATGCTTCTTGTTCTCGAAGACGTCCTCCTGTGAACTACCCGCCTATTTACCACTTTAACAGACTTCCCATTAAGGTCTGCGCTACTTACTGCAGGTCTACTTTCTTGATGAACTGACATGGAGGAATTTAGGGTGAAAGGCTTCAAGTTTACCTCACTGTTGTTATTTTCTTCACCCGTCAAATTGAGTTCACTCAGCCCGTTATCTTTTGGCTTCACTTCCTCCAGTTGTTGAAGCAAGGCCCTTTCTTGGCTTTTTGGATCCTTACAATTGAGTAAGAAATCGACTGTGTGGCGCCGTAGTCTGACTCTCAGGTCCCTCAGAGTAAGCTGGGACAAAAGTGAAACTGTCCGATGCGGTTTGACTGTGGAAGATTTCAATGGGTGCTTTCCTGATCGTCTGTGCTTCTCTCGTCTCCACTTCTTTGTTTGACCAAATTTTCTGTTCTTCAAGGCATTTCTCCTCATCTGCTGGGTAAAGGAATTCCTTGAGGGGATGGCTAAGAATGAAAGAGAACAACAAAGAATGAAATGAGGGTGCTGTATACACAAAAGCCCAAAATTATAAATGTAATACCTACAACATAATAACATCCACGGGATTCAAGTGATTAATTAAACTGCTTTCATTAATTTTCTATCTGTTAAGTAATTTACTGCACAGCAGATGCCAAGATAGCCTGTGGTGCTAATAAAGCATGTGATGCTCGGAAAAATGCGTGAGCAGTGTTCAGTTCAGGCAGTTTTTTTGCACATTTTCTCTTAACCAGGAAGCAAACACTCGCATCTGTTGGCCCAAAACACATCGCAGCAATAGAGGGACATAATACAAATGGTGGAATTCTACCATATCTACCTATTATTTGGATTGAAACCCGCGTTTTATCAGATACTGGATCATGTGAGCAAAAACAAAAACAGGTGGAAACTTTCAATTATATACCCATATACAACCTAAAATGACCTAACAACACCTTGCAGCTTATCAGTATACAGAGTTCGAAGCAAAAGGAATGCTTCCTGCATCTGCAAATAAAACGGCAACCACAGGAACAAATCTCATGCTTGAACAGATGCATGCAGTTCCACGCTCTGTTGCATTACTGCACCTTCAATCTTGTTCCTCAAAGATGCAGGGATCAAACGCAATGTATTCAAAACTATCACTTGTAGTAATGTAGGGAATTACACACATCTGAGTAAAATATGACAGCAGAAAAACCCAATCAAATCTGTTTCAATCTAGTTTTGTGTGGTATCAAATGTGGTTATGATGTTCCCTGTTTTTTTTCTCCCCAAGGTCATCTAATTATTTTATAGCCTATATGGTTAATGCTTTATTTTGCTATGCAATACATAGTTACATAAGCATAAACATGCTTCTTATAGTGCTGAAGTTGTGTCATAACCAAACTAATAAAATCAACAGAAAACAGAAGTGCTTCAATATTATCTACTAATTAATGAAGCTATTTCAGTAAACGTGTTATATTGAATCCTGAAGTTATGAAGAAGCAACACAATTTACTTCCTAAAACAGGCCCAATGTATCCGCAGATCATATTTCAAACATTCATTTAACAAAGACTGCATTCACAGTAATCACAGAGCTATTTAACACACCCATCTGTTTCCAAAGAGTGAAGTACAGAGATGTCTGGTAGACATAAAACATTTTTCAGTAGCAGATAAAGCACGTTTACAAGCAGTTCAAAAGTTGCCTCGATTGCCAACATGAATTCTGAGCCTTTTGGCAACGATACTGTCACCATAGCATTGCAGTTTTAGTGTGTGAGTTACAACATGATTAAAGCAGCACCATAATTATTTTCATGCTGTTTCCATAGAAATCAGCCAGGTAACAAAATAAAAACAGAAAAGCATTTGTTCAAACAATCCCAAAATCATAGTTCATATTCTTAGATCTGCAACAGGTTTCAGTAAGTGGAGTGTAAGTGATATGGGCATCATAATGTTTAAGTAATCTGTGCAAGGTAACAGAGCAGGCAAATGCTGAAATCTGACTCTTACAAAAAGGTATATTGATAATATATTTTGTTGTCTTGATTTTGTTGTACAGTAGTTTTAAAACTGGAATTTCAGCAAGGTTTTTAAAAGTTTTGAGCAGAGTGGACCTTAATGAACGTGCAGCATTAGTTGTCCTTACGGGCTTTCAATTTGATGGTGCATTTAACAATCAGTTAAGTGATGAGTAGACTGTTGAGCTTGTAATACTATAAGCTGTTATTCTTGAGATTACTGCTGTATAATTGCATTTAGAGCCAGGTCTGTGGTGCTGAGAGGGATTTTAGGAAGGCGGCAATGCAGATCTGTCTATATTAGCCGATTGTCAATATTTGTTTTGTTACTTTCATTTTAAAAATACATAGAAATTATGTAATTGCTATACTAGTAACTACGATTAATAACTGATTTGAGAATTATTTTAGAGAAAATTCTAACGCAGTTACCTTTAAAGATACCTGAGTGTATTCCTGGTATTATCGGCCTTGCAGGAAAGTGACCCTTCTCTCTGTGATGGCGAAGATATCTCTCTCTCAGGCGGTACTTTTGGCCCACAGGATCCTTTGTTTCTTCACATTCAGGCTGCTTCCCTCTGTGTTTGAAATGACCCTCTCCATTCCTAAATAACAATTAAAATTACAAAATTAAATTCAAGTTATATATTTTTTTTAAATATTTAATAAACAAAATTTTCAGTTTTGAGGAGAAAAGAAACAAGCTATAATAAAGACAATGTCTGATCAGATGATGGACACACCTCTCACAGGTGCAGCATTCACACATTTCATTGCCTTCTCCAAAAAAGCTGGCACCATAGTAACACGTGATCTCCTCCCCAGGTGAGATGGGTCGTATCACTTCAACACAAGCGATATTCTTCTCGCCAGGGAGGAACTGGGCGGGTGAGAAAAGGAAAGGGGAAAAAAACAGCAAAAGACAAAGACAAAAGGTTGGTTGGCCCATGGGATACATTGACACACAGCAGTTAGGAAACAGAAGGGGCGGGGGGGGCGTAATTCTGTATCTAAAACAACATGTCAAATTTCACCATAATAAATCTTACTAGAGTATGCATGTAAGCATTTAACAGCATAAAACATCAATCAGTGCAATTTATCAAATCTCTTGCAAGTTAATGTGATAAACAAATAAAGCTGATTACCTTGCAGTTTGGTTTGCAGTCTTCAACCCAGAAAGACAAATAAAGAGAGAAAAAGACAGAGATGGAGGATATCAAGTTATTAATTCAATCACAGCAATGAATAAAGGACTCAACAGTTTGTTGATCAGCTGGCTTGTGCTGTATTCATTTTGCAAAGGCTGAAAGGCTAAGCTGATTAACTCTCAAACACAATTATAAGATCTTGTCAGAAACTGCCCTCTAAGTGGACGGAAGAATTAACTAAAATTTCACTGGACCTTTTGTACACATTACAATTCAGTTAACACCATGAGTTGACACACAGTCTGTGGAGATCAAGCTGCTTGTGCTTATCTGTTTTAATGACTTCTAGGACTTACAAACTGTTTGTGTAATGAAATCATGAACAAAAAAATCATATTACACACCGGGCAAAGGGCCGCAACTAACAATTATTTTCATTGTTGAGTAATCCGCTGATCTTTCTTGGTCTATAAAATGTCAATAAATAGTGAAAAGGCTGGAACCACTTACGGGTTTGTTTAAATGATTAATCAGACACATTTTTTTGTCCATCAGCTAATCAATTAATCAACTATTTGTTGTAGCTCCACATTATATTTATGTATCATTTTATTATTGTATTGTTTATATATTTTCCTTATTTGAATTTAAAATTCACATTTCGTATCAGTTTGAGACACAAAGGGAATTTGCTGAGATTTTAAACCAAAATGTATAAATAAATTGTTTTATTAGCAGAACATAATAAACTAATTACATAATAATTCAATACTGATTCTCATGAAAAAGGCAGATATTAAGCATCACTCATGGAGGACAATTAGTCAAAGATAGGAAATAACAAGAGAAGATGGTGTATTTAATGTTTAGTCTGGATTCTGATAAATGCAGGTCACCCTCAAGTATTTACAGTAAGAAGAGGGAACAGCTACACAATCCAGCTACCAAGCACCTGTTCTAGATCAACAAATTAATCTTACCCAATGTGCATGTAGTACTTACATGATATGAAGTCATTTTGATATGAAATGATCATAACTGAAACAATAGGCCTCTTTCAGTATGTATCTCAGTATGTAAGATATCAAACATTATCAGAAAACAAATTACTCACTAAATTGTTGAGTAATAGCATATTTTAATCTGGTGTTTTGACTGTTAGTATTTGGATTACCTTTAGTTAAAATGTACTCCTGGCAGGTGAATTTGTTCTACTGATTAAACTTTCAGGCGAGCACTCTTATCAACTATGAGAATTTTAAACTTGTGCATCTGTGTGCGTGTCTGTCTGTGTGTACTTGGAAAGAATGAGTCATGAATGCAAACAAACTCACCATGGTTAATGAAAGCTGCAGGCCCGAGCCAGAGCTGAGCACAGCGCTTGCGTGTGGAATACATCACACTGAAGTCATTGACTCCTGCCCTCAGCACAGCGCTGTCAGCGGGGCTCAGCTCTGCTATGCAACCCAGCAGGACCTCCACCCGTTCTCCTGCAAACCTGCAGAGCAATAATTCAGGCGTCACATATCTACAATTAAAAAAATAATAAAAAGCACTCGTCCAGGACATGCAGCACTTATAGTTCAGCTACACGCTGCCTTGACAAAAACAATGTTACGTGAGTGTTTACCAGTGCCTTGTGGAAGTTATCTTTGCTCCGTTGGTCTCTGAGGAGTATCTGTCACAGGACTCTATCTTCACACCACTATCCAACAGGAAGGCACTGAGGTAGCGATACACCTGCAGATATCATAGATGGTTTAGATTGTGTTCAAGCATCGAAGGTAGCGGTCGGTGAACCTAACACAGATGCTAAAAGGGGGAGACTTCCAAGCACAAGTGTCATAATACTATAATGCATTTTGTCATGTTTTATAATTTACTGATTTGTAAGTGTAAACATCAGCCTACGTGTTGCCTCAGCAGCTCCTGACGATGGCTTCCCAAAGCATTGAAGTAGTCACCAGCCAGTTCCCCCACCGTCAGCGCCTCGAACGTAGCGTTGAAGTCGTGCGTACGCTGAAAGCGCAACAGGGTCTCCTTGAGATTACCCCAGCGCCGGATCTCTGGCGGGGGACTGAAGCAGAAAAGCAGACAATGGCATATAAGAAGAGCAGAAACAATCACGGGACAAAGTGAAAACATAGTGTGTGTTAAGTCTTTTTTTTTTAATCTTAAAAAATGATTTCAGAACAACATCAACATGTATGCTTTAAAGAGACTTCCTAGTAAACACGATCAAAAGAAGGCACAGGATTAAAATGATTAATAATAATCACAAGGATTTGCCTACATGTGAGTGTTGACTGATAACATTCCTACAGCTTAATGTGCTCAGAGAACATAAACACATAAAAACACATAAATCAGTCACGAGTTAAACTAACAGCAGAGTTATCGTGTGTATCATAAAACAGATTGTCTTTTTGCAACAGCATATTGTCTATTTCCCCCAAAGTCAAAGATTCAACAGACATTACAGTATGTGAATTTCAACTGTCCTGATGAGCCAAGTGTCAAATACACCTACAATAACTGTGAATGAAGTGTGCACTGAACAGCAGATCTAAACCACTGCTGTTTGCTTTCACTCACTATCATTTACCGAATGAAGAAATGTAAAATAAAAGTGCATGTCTGGGTGTAACAACACGCTGGTATGTATCACAGCAAACAAATAAGCAGCACATTTTAAAAAAGCAAGAATGATACAGTACTGAACCTTAAAGAAAACAAACAACAAACACTTATAAACCGACGTGATGAAAGTGTTAATTAGGCTCTGGGATCGACTGACAGATTACCTGATGTTCATTTTGTGGGTGCTGAAGCCCAGCAGAGGGTCCAGCACCAAACCGGTGGCCAGGTCATCGGTCTCACACAGCTCCTTCACACTCATTCTAGTGCATCCGTCCATTGCCTCCCACCATCAGCATGCTGCAATCACAGGGTTCAAAGTAACGCCATGCAAAACAACAACAACAACAACAACAACAACAATCTGGAGTTGTGCATTTCAGCTGCTCGGTCTCAAGCATTTAGAAACACACCATTAGCACAACAGTAGTTACTTGCTCACTTGCACAAAGTTGGCCCACGGTCTATATCTGCAACCCGCATCCTGCACGCCAACAACAACAACAACAACAACCAGTGGAGGGTGAACGTTACGTGTGAGTAACATTATCTCCCGTAACATAGCTTAGCATGCCAAGCTCCCTATGTGGGGGTGTTGTTGGTGGGAGGTGGGTGATCAGCTGAGGAGTGAGGGGAGCTACACGCTACGGTAGCTGTAGCGGTCTGCAGCTAACGTTACCCGACTGCATCAGATCGTAGATTGAAACCCGGGTACGAAGCGTGCAGCCACATGGGGGGGAGGGGGGGGGTCGTAAACCTACCTGGGAGTCTTTTGTAGTCAACGAAGGTGTCGTCAGAGAGACAATTTATCGCAGGCTCGCTCTGGCAGGGAAAGTTAGCCTAGCAATATCACCAGCTAGCTTTCCGCCGTCTTGCTGGGTACCCCGGCCGCGTCCGAAAATGGAGTCTCCTCGTCACTTGTGGGATTTGCTGAGCTGCTGACGACTGCAGGTCCTTCGCCGAATCGCGAGAGGCATTAATGCATCTCACAGGCGAGGAGAGAGAGGCGTGAAATGTATGCGTTGTGCAGCCAGCTAACTAGCTTTGCACAACGCTCATCTAGTAGCAAAAGTTGATGGGCAACGTCCAGTGCAACCGAACTTACTGGTAGCCACGCCCACACGCTCTGCGATTCGCTGAGGTCAAGGTCAATTTTGCGAATCGAACGCAGAGGGGTGTTTTAAGCTCCCTGATTGGTCAGATGTGTTTTTTGGTTTTTTTGTGGGCGGGGCCGTGTGAGAGCCAGAGCCGTAGTGTAGCGGGTCGCGTCATCTCCGCTCTCCAGTCTCCAGTGGACCGTGTTTCTACAGCAATGGCGGACCGTGGAGCAGCTTCCAGTGGTTCCCAGAAGTTATCTGCAAACACTGGCGGCGCAGAACAGACCGTCTGTGGTGCAACTACAAAAAAAAAAAAAAAAAAAAAAAAAAAAAAAGGGTAAGACGTCCAGAGAATCACATTATCCACCGCTGAATTTAAAAGATTTAGGGATGTAAACAGAGAAGAGGACACTGGTTGAAGTTAGTAAAAGCAACCACGGATACTCCGCGTCCTACTCCACCTAATGGCATTTCATTTAAGGTTGTGCAACTGTAGTAAAATGCTTCTAAACCTGTTTTATCCTGCAGGGCGGGCGGGGTTAAAAGTTAAATATAACAGTGTGTGGTTGGAGGTGGTGAAAGACCCAGATCACAAACTATTATTTAGGACTTGTTAGAGCTGGATTAGATTTTTCCCACAGAAACCAGAGACTCTTTAAAAGATGGGTCCAGATTTGTGAAAATGTAAAAAAAAAAAACTACCAAAACAAACAGTTTGAAGTACTTAAATAGGCCTATTATAATAATAATAATAATAATAATAATAATAATAATAATAATATATACTTAAGTATTGTGATCCAGTATTTCAAATCAAAGGGAGTCATATTTCTAAAAAACACATGGGTTTTATTTATGCTATTCTGCTTATGAAAGTGGCAAATAAAATACTTCTTCCTGCTCATCAAGTTTTTTTTAATTATAAATTATTAATATATAAAAATATAATACATAATATGATAAGCAATCTCTTTTTTTATTCAAAAAATGAATTAAAAAATTTAAAATCGTGTTAAAATACTTAGACTAGTAAATATTTATTCCAGTTGTGAAAAGGCAAAAAAAAAAAAAAAAAGGGAGATTTCGCTTTTTCTAGACCACTTTAGACCATGTCCAGATCAAAAACTACTATAACTACACTTGTCAAATCTGGACTGGATGATCTATTATGTATTGTTATTTAACATATTCATAATTTTGCTTGTTGTCAGACAATTTTAGTCCAATTTATAGTAACTATTTTACATTTTTTAACGCAGTTGTTTTGGCACATTGCCTCTGAAACAGTCTCACTCTACATGCTTCACATTTTTTACCCCAGCAAGTGACAGAAACAATTAAAGCTAAGCCAACAGTAAACAATACAGACTTAGAGAGACAGAGGCAAACCGTGCTGCCCAACCCAGCACCCATTATTAAAACCGAAGTGGAAAGATTGCCTGGGTCCAGACCCTTTGAATCTGCCCACTCCACCGACTGAGTTGACTGATTATGAAGATGGAAATGGAGCGTAACAGTTCTGTCTGACATCAGGGAAGAAGGAAGAGACTGGCAGCACGGACGGAGAAAGACTGTGTTCTCTGTTTGTTTTTCTGTTATTGTTCACACTGAACAATAACATTCTTTGGCAGACTTTTTTTTTTTTTTTTTTTGATTTTGTAAAGTGTCTTTGTGCTGTCTGAGCCAGGTGAGATTGAATAAATAAGTAAAACACTCACAGGAAGGAAAAAGAGGCCAACCATGCTAATGAAATGTGATAGACAGTTGAGGCAGCCTCCGCAGAAGAAAAGGAGGAAAAACTGCCAGAAAAGATGTGTAAAAGGTACATTAGAGTCTTTTCTAGCAATGTGGAAGTGAAATGTGAGATTTAATATTTCTGACATTGTCGTCAGACGCATTCGGAGAAAGAAAACCAGACACAAATATACAAATTCTATGTTTTATTTCTACCCTTTTAACAGAGACCATTTGTGATTGATTTGAAAACAAATGAAATACAAATAAAAAATACAGTTAATTTCTGTTGTTTCTCTTTCTTATTTCTAATAATCGAGTAATTTCATATCTACCCAGCGACAGTGCATGGTGCAAAACATCCCTGATTGATTAAAAAATCCTACACTAATAAGCTTGCAGTATCTAGCGTTTAAATTTGTCAGTAAAAACAATGTGAACAAAAAAGTAATTAAAGACCAGATTCTTAGAGGTAATAACAACAGTAAATATAGAGTGACATATTTAAAAAATAAAAATGTTACAAGCAGAGGTTTGTACAGCTATGGGAATGGGAATGAAAGTGGCCTTTATTGGACCATTTATTCAGAAGACAGAGATCTAGAAGTTCCATAATGTTTCAGCACTATATTATCTCTAACAGGAGACACACTCTCCATTGGAGATCACAGCTCTCAAACCTTGTATTAACTTTTTATTATCCTATTAAGACTTTAATACCATAAATGTCTGTACATTTTTTTTAGATCTTTTTCTACATTATATCAACTTTATCCACAGAAGGCAGGCCCGTATCATTTACAAATAAAAAATAAATGACCTTCGAAGCACCAGGTCACTCTGAACATTGTTCCCTAATGGGCTCACCAGTATGTCAAAGTTAGGTTAATTTCAATTTAGCCACCTTATAATGTGAACAGCAAACGAAAGTCATCTGACTTGTGAATATCCTGTAATAATGGTGTTGATGTATTTTTTTTTTTTATATGAATATAAATATGATTTCCTCATACCATTTCATTTAAATTTCACTTCCTGAGTTGATCTTACTGGATGTGAATCGAACATGAGCACACAAGGTCCAGTGGTATTTTCCTTCACCTGCCCTCTCTGATGCAGTTACGAGTTTGTATTTAGAAAGCAAAGCAGGATTAAAGCTTACTTACTTACTTACATTGATTTGAATTTATTTTTAAACATTTATTTTCTGAGGTACTGAGTTGAAAACCTCTTGCTGAGACAGTGGAGGGAGATAGGTGGGGCAGGATGACGGCTAAATTCCAGCTCCCCCACCCTCTGCTGAAGTACGTGCTTACGCACTACACACTCAACTTTGACCAGTATTTAACTGTCTTTGCAATCTGGAGAGCTGCGGTCACACACGTTCATACTTGGACAGAGGGCCTAAGAATGAGGACAGAGAGCGGGACAAATAAAGCCAGACACACCAATTATGTAACAGGAGAGGAGGGGAAGAGTGTGTTTGGGTCCTTTAGAAATGGGCAGTGAGTTACCCTGGAACACTGTAGAAAGGAATACTTTTTCACCAGTTGCGACAGACTGTGCTGGACTGCTTTCACTGGGGACACCCTGTATGCCAACTGAACTTAATGCACAGTAGAAGGAATGCAAAATTACCCATTTGTGACATTAAGTGGTTGTTTTTTTTTTTTTTTTATAAACAAGCAAAAGTCTTTTTGAATTCAGGCAGGGTGACTGCGTGGTTCGAGGGTTATCAAGCTGTCACAGGATCCACTAACATTATTAATAATACCGTGTGAAATAAAATTCTCTCTGTATATGGCTCTTTATGCTTATTTGGACAGCAATGCCGCTGGAAGAAAAGTAGAACAATACTTACAGCAACTGAGAATGACTGCTGTCACAAGCAATGCAAGCACTTCCACATTCTTGCTCTTATAATTTACATAGCACAATCTAAGAAGCATACAAAAGTATTTACTAATCGCTGTATACCTAAGGAATGACCTGATGTTGCAACCAAAACTGTAAGCTATAATCACTGGGAATTTACTGTACATGATTATCTTGAGTGTGTTTGTGCTCAGATTCCCCGTCGACTTTAAAAGGACTGTCTGCTACCAACGTCACAAACTTGATCCATTACTTAGTTCTATCCAAACACTGTCTTAAGCTCTCATGTTCATAGTTTTCCATGTTACGCTTATTTGGTGTTGGTTTAGATTAAAATAAACACTATTTGTTTTCATGGTGGACTGAAGTGGTCTTGACTCATGAGTTTTGAACTGGAAAGGTCAGATCAAAGATTCACCATCTCATCTCCCTTTTGAATCACAGCAAAATATGGAAAACCTAAGTCAGTGTCTCCTCAGTAGGCATCTGGAGTATGCTGTTTTAGTTAGATAAACAGTGGTATCTACATGGGGAACGCTCAATAACTTCATGAACTACTTGTACTTCATCATCTATTAGAAAAAAAATAAAGATTTTGCTTTGAGATTCCTAATCAAATTTTTTTTTGTGAAAAAAAATGGCAACATCTGGTTCTGTAACCAGCTTTAGGCTGTCCTCTCCTGCAGTCCGTGAATTTTGGCTAAACATCTTTGGCTATATCACACTGAAGCAAACATGTGAAATGCCCCTTTGTTTTAACGAAGCGTAAGCTGGACGACGCTTTGCAGCTTTCTACATTTTTGTGAGTTCTCTTCAAGCTGCTGTATTAATCAATTCAGGGTGCCACACTCAAAGATAAGCACAGCCACTACGCATGGCAAAGGTTGCTGACAAACATGAGAAAAGCAATGGCAAACACAAAGTGATCAGCATGATGGCGTAAGTCAAATAAATGGTTATTTTTTATTCATCTTCAACTTTCAGTGAACTAAAAACAAGAAAAAGAGAAAAAAAAAAAAATCAAAGCATGTTGGTTTCATGTATCTACAAAAAGAAAAGAAAAAAAAGAAGCAAAACTATTTCACATCCATGACCGCGTTTTCGAAAGGGAAGAGAGAAAAAAAAAATCTCAATGTGAATCCTTTTCATTCGAAGATTCACCTGCACATATATGCACCTGTGCACCCAGTGTGTATAGTATGTGCCGTTACCGCTTAAACCGTGCAATTTGATCCCCCCCCTCCCCACCCATCACACAGACATACACACAGACCTCTGAAACATCATGTACAAAAGCTTGTGTTTAGCATTAAACAGTGCAGGGCCTTAACATAAACAGTTAAGGCTCCTCTTTCTCACTCTCCCCCTTCCCCTCCTC